ACTTAGAAATAATCTGCACTTTTCAGCACTGATAGATGGAATAACAAAAAAAGTTCCAAGCACAAAAATTGAAGGCTATTCGACCTGAAAAGACTCCAAGGCCTTTCATTTGCTGCCCAGTTTTTGGAAAGTCAATCAAAGCTAACAAAGGCTGATTTTGAATATTTGAGCTGCGAGGATAAAGTCAGATAGATACAAATCTTATAACATCTTCAATTAAAACAACTTTAAACTAAGATTTGAGATTTATTGAAAGATTCTCTAGACAATAAATCTTAAAATTAAACAAAAGTTTTGAGGAGAAATTGGTAATATGAACAAACGGTAAAATGAAGAGTTGCAGCAAAAGTGCAAAAACAGCAGTCTAATGATAGTGTTTGTGGTATGAACATTCAGTTATTCAGGCAGACAGAATGAATTAGCACTGTCAGATTTGGTCTCTCAGGGTTCATTTGGCAGGCTAATAGATGTTTCCAACTGAGCACGTGCCACATTTTCCCGATAAGTAATGTTTCCAATCTAGAGGAAGGCAGCTTAATTGCCTGTTTAGACTGTGTTGGAAATGAACCCTACCAGCTCTGATATACTTAACAACGTGTTCTTTAGGTGTTCATGCAGATGAACATGAAAAAAAACGCTTTATCATTGTTTCCTTCGTGCAAAAGTCAAAAAATATGATTCTTAAAAACGGATGATATCGAAAACAAAGCAAAACCAAGAAAAAATCACATCATGATTTTAAATCAATTTAAAAAAGTTGTCTTTATGACACAGTATATAAAGGCTTGTCCGATAAACTTCTCACTCCAGTCCTCAAAGATTGGTATTCAGAAATGTTACAAAAATTGGGATGCGGGCTGATTAGGCCACGCCCAATATATTAAGTCTCCATACTTAACTTTGTAAACCCTCTGATTGACACTATAAACATGATGCTATGAACTATCTTTTTTTTCCAACCTAAGTCGCATGTCTTGTTGCGATGCAATTATTGTTGCCATAAAATGTGTTCCTTTTGAAAGTGTTCATTTTGATCAATCACCAACTATAATGTACAGTCAATGCTAAGGATTTTAACACAAACTATCATTGTTCCGACTTTCGTAAAGGAAGTAACGGAATTTTTGTGCTCAAAATTTTTTTGTCTTCAGACAAATTTCGGGTTTTTAACTAGCCGTTTTTGACGAGATTCTTAAAATATCATTCGAAAGCTATTGTTGTCTTGAGCTTAATTTTAAAAAAATTTCACCTGTGTTTATTTTTGGCAAAGTTATTTGGGTTTAAAGACTGCCATTTTGGCCAATTTGGGACAATTAACGCTTTATATATTTCGAGCTAATAAAGCGTAAGCGGAAATTTAATCCGGCTCAGAAATTGTTCAATTGGTTGAAGAAAGCTTATTTGCCATAAGTGATTTGTTAATAGGAGCGAAATCTATCACTTTGTACTTTATATAGCGTGTGCGGGGATGTTTTTTGCAAAAATCTTTAATTAAAAAAAGTTCATTTTATTTTTTTTTACATTTAACTTTTCGTGTTATTACTGCTCCATAGACCTTAAAGGGCAGTCGGTTTATTCAGGGCCTCACCCTGATACGAGGAGTCTTGTTGTTCCGGACTTTCGAAGAAAACGGAATGTTTATGCTCGGTGTGGTTTTTTTTAATCGGTCAATTTTCGCCGATCAAAATAAGAAATTTCAACAAAATTTTTTATACCCCATTGAAAATAACGTTTTTGTGAGTTCAAAATCAAAAAGATATTTTAACTTTCAATAACTTTTTGTAATATTCTGGAGGTTTAAAAAATTGCTAAATTGGCCATGCTCTGGACTAAATTGTGTGCGCTTTGAAGAATTCATTCATATTGCTGAGATGGTAATGCGAACTATTTATGCGTGGCAAATTATCCCGCACAACAAAATCGTTCCAAAATAAGTTGAGGCTGGCTAACAGGACCAATCGTAATAATTTCATACGACTCAACTTTTCACACTTTGTTATTGTTCAAATTTTATAGATTTTCAATATTTTTTTCCCCAAAACTTTGGTATGAATTAAGGGACATTCGGAATATTCATAGCTTTGCCCTGATATACGAGTACTCTTGTTCTATTTAAAAGTTGTTTTCTGAAAAATTGTTCCGTCATTCCCTCTTTTGAATGAAAAGGCTTTTTATTCATACTTGGGGTGTTTTTTTTTGGACTAGCTTGACTTTATAGTTATTCATTTTTAAGCCAATGAGTGTTTTTATATCTTCTGACTAGTGGCGTGCGCAGAAAACTTTCTAGAGGGGGTGGGGGCTAAAATTTTGCCGACTTTTATGTAGGTTAACTAATTTGATTTTCCGAGCTCTCCCAAAATAGCATACGGATCTTATTTTGTGAAAAATTTTCTGCGCCACAGGCAAGTTTTTCAAAAAACAGGCCAAAAAAGGCGTTTTTAGGCATATTTTGGAAAATTTTGACCAAAAAGTTGCGCTTTTTTGGCAAGCGCTCCCCCCTCAAATTAGTCATATTAGCGCCAAAGGCGCTTTTAGGAAAATTTTGAGGTTTTTCAGCAAAAAATGGATGTCATAAAGTTATAACGAAGGAAACCTTTGGAAAATTTTGCAACCAGAATTGAGGGGGGGGGGGGGGGGACAGTCGCACCCCAACCCCACCCCACCTCGACTCGCTACTGCCTCTGACAAATATTGATGTCATGAGCTGAGAACTCAAAAATGTTTCAGATTTTTTCGCAATTTATTGAAGTTTAAAATTTTGAAATTTGGCCAATTTGGGACTTTTCTGAAGTCATCAAGAAAAAGTCTGCCAATATGGTGGTTCAATGATTCTTTCAAGTCTTCTTTAAGCTATTCATAATTATAGTTAATTTTTTTTTTGGTACCTTTAGTAAAGAAGCAATTTTTTTCATCTAATTATCTGCCCGAGAATATAGCCAAAACTGTTTATTACTAAGGTGGCTATCAAATTTCTGCTATAAGCACACCTGTGCATAATTTTGCTGTCAAAATATTTTTTTAAAATTACAGTTTTCAAGATTTACTCAATGTAAAAAATGCTAAAAGTGAACACCTCGGTTACTTTGTGACCTTTTTCGAAAAATAAAGAAAAAAATAACAAACATTGTTCTCATATTAAGATATTTTTTTTTGCTAAGGTGACGCTTGTTTTATTTATTTTTATTGACTAAAAACCTCTCATAAACCTAATTTTTGCTACGATGTTTTAATTTATGTAGCGTTTAAAACATATTGGGAAAAATTGAGCATTTAAAAGCTGGATTAGTTCAACATCATCAAGCTTAGATCAAGCTCAGAGTTTAAATTTAAATTTAAGTAATACAAAAAAACAAATAAACAGCGATTAGTCAGCCCAGGGCGGATTTAGGGGGGAGTCAAAGGGTTTTTTGACCCCCTGCCGACCCAAAGGGTCCCCCCTATTGGAACTTTTTAAGAAATTCATTTGTGGGCAACCGACCATAAAATGTTTCTAAAGGCGCCTTCGGCGCCAATATATACTAACTTTGAAGGGAAGCGCGCGCGCCAAATAAGCACATTTTTTTGGTTAAATTTTTCCAAAAAGTGCCCAAAAACGGCTTTTTTGACCAATTTTTTCAAGTTTGGAAATTTGAAAAATTTGAAAATTTGGCCAAAACAGCGTCTTTTTAGTGCTTTAGCAGAGCTCGGAAAATCAATTTGGTTGACCTAAAAAAAGACGTCAATAATCTCGAAAGTTTTTTGGAAATCCACCCCCTTGAGAAAATCCTAGATCCGCCCCTGAGTCAGCCCGTTATCAAAACTTTAGGAGACTCGAGTTCTGAGAAAGTATCGGTGCTTTTGAAAAACATGCCAGAAATAGCGTTTTTAGGCACTTTTTGAAAAATTTCGACCAAAAAATTGCGTTGTTTTGGCGCGCGCTCCTCTTCAAAATTAGTATAAATTGGCGTCAAAGGCGCCTTTAGAAATATTCTAAGGTCAGTCCGCCAAAAATGGATATCTGAAAATAGTACAAAGGGGTCAGAAGGAGGTCCCACCCGCCCCCTCCCCCCCCCCCCCCTAAACCCGCTACTGAGTCAAACTATTATTTCAATTGTCGAAACTCCACTGGACTAAAAGCTATTCAAGAATTCTTTAATTTCTTCAAAAATTTTGAATCAAAAATCTGTTAATTTTGTCAAAAATTTTATTGCATTTTTCAGTTCCGACTCTCAAAGAGAGTTTTGTAGGCTACATGGAAGGTCCAGTTATCTCAAAATACCAGTATGAGTAATTGATACGACAGTTTTGATGATTTATTTTCCCATATCAAAGTTCTTGGGACCGCAGTTTTGAAGTTGTACAAATAAATAATTTCAACTGAAATTAGTTTTTGTTAAATGCTATCTGAAGATGCCAACTTGCGAAACGCAACAGAAATGCCAAATGATGAAAAAAGCAAAGAAACCTGAGAACAAGTCAGGAGTTACACTTCAAAAATTAAAGCGTCATAAAACTCTATCCCCACTGCCTGTTATCGGAAAACTGAATTTTTTTGACGGTTCGGTGGGGATGGTTGGATATCGGCGTGAAACGAGAGAGTTATTATGAAGGTTTATATTGCGATAAATGAGTGATAACTAGCCATGACAGTGAGAATTCTTTTTTAGTTACAGGGATGAAGCATTTGTCGAGTGGAATCAATGCGAAAAAATGCTAATGAGGAAACCGAAGATGAACAAATTGATTGAAAAATCCAGTACTTTTTTGTTTTAAGCCGAAATAAAAAGTAAACTGAAAAGTTGACACATTTCAATGCCCGAAATTTTAGGAAAATTTGAAATACGCACTTCTTCAATCACTGCGAGAAAAATTTGAGCGTATCTTTGAATTTTTCTTCATTGATTTATCAAATGCGCAAAATTTTAGATTTTTTAAGAAAGTTTTTGTGTTTGTACTAAATCATGCCTAACAAATAGAGGTATGTGTTAAATCAGTCTCACTGAATAATAATTATAACTCACCTTTTAAGCGTCAAATCTCGCGGGATTAAATATTCAGAAGCCAACTTTAATCAAATGCGAGAAAATGAAAATAATGCGAATTTGTGTTACTTTTTTAAATTGTGCGCTTTTTTCAGCAACTGTCTCAATTTTATTTTGAATATGTCAGTAAATTAAAGTTCAACCATGTGTGAAATAATAGCCATTTGCAAAGTAAAACTTAGTGAAGGTTGACGCCAAAATGTTTAAGCAATCAATGGAAATGGCGATTTGTGAAGCGTATTACTTTGGTAGGAATTTAGCAAAAAAAGAGGGATGTGACGGAACGGTTTTTTGCTCAAATACAATGCCATTTTGCTCAAATGCAATGATTTTCCAAATAGAACAATAGTTTAGTGTAAGTTCTCCCCGGACATAACAGATTGTTTTAGAGGACATTTATCTCAAGCTATGGCCTTTGGGGATTATTGCAACGGTTGAACCTCTAGTTAAGCATTTTTATTGGTACTTATTGCACATTTTTCAGTTTAGATAAAAATACGTTGAAAAATTGATTTTAACTAGCTATCATTTTGAACAAAATTGACCATCTGAGAAAAAAAAATTTTTTTTTTAACGGCTGACGAAGAACAATAAACTAGAAAACAAAAGGAGCTCACAGTGAAAATTTATTTATATCTCAATTTTTTTTTTTCAATTCTTCAAGGATGAAGTGGCGGCTATTTTTCAGCTGAAATGCTTCGTTGCCTGTCATTGAGATATCTGAAAAACCAGTTTTGCTCAGTTTCGTGGAGATAAATCCCTGTGATCGCATCATTTTTCCCGATTATACTGTAAGAGAAATCGACTGGTTTTTTGATCAGCGGTTCAGTGGTTTCAATATAATGCGTTTTTGGAGAAATATCAAAATGAATTTGATGAAGACGGAATGATGTCTGGCTTTTATGATAGTAGTCGTAAAAATATGCGCCGGTTGCTGGATAATCAAGAAAGAATGACGAGTCTTGCATACACCGATTGCTCGCTGTACTTACTCAAGTACTTTTTGCTTTAAAAGAAAGGCCTTTTTTGAGATAAGACATGCTTTCGAGGAAAACATTGTAAAACATGATAGAAATTTCAGAAGAATTAAATAAATATTGAAAAAATAAGTGTTACGGAGGAGGTCGGGGGGGGGGGTGGTTTTGTGATTGCTGTTTAGTCCTGGGTGCCAGTTTTTCTACTTTTTCTACGATATCTCTTTAGAACAAATGACCTGAGTCTTTTGGCGCCAATTAACTCTAACTTTGAAAATGGATGCGCAAGCTGAAGAAACGCATTTTTTTAAATCTTATTTTTACCAAAAGTGAGGGCCCATTATCTTCTGAAAAACTCCGCAAAACAAACTTTTCTACACGTTCCACAAAAACTTATACAAACTTCTGCAAAAGCAAAATCAGATTTTCTTATTAGTTTTTCGCGACGTTCTCATTAGTTTCAAAAACGTTGATCTTAAGGGTTGATATTTTTACTCGTACACATGGAAAAACGCTGTCGTTTGACTGTTTGGGGGCAATGATTACAATTTAATCTTTGTAAGTGAACATTAAGTCATTTCACAGTAAAATTTCGCGGGTGAAACTGATTTTAAAAAAATCAGTTGGCGATAGCTTTGATGTCTTGTTTAACTTGGGCTCGACTTTAAAGGGCAGGAAGACGAAAACTATGAATATCGTGCTTAGTGCAAATCGTGCTAATTGACTTTGTTTCCGTAGAGACTTGAGAACAATAAGTGCTCTATTTGGGAAATATCAGTGCCCCTCATAATTGAATTGGCTATTTATCATCTGAAAATTTCAATCTCGAATGGCGGGACAAACAAATTTTAGTTAGAAACAAGTGAAAGGAAAATATATACTCATTTGTGTCATTGGATCTTGTCAACTATTTACCCCCTTTTACAAAAAGGGGGCAAAGTCATTGCAAAGAACAAAATTTGTATACGCATAACCGTACAATCGGTTATTAGGAAAGTAAATTCGTTACAAGGCACCGTAAGGGGGACTATTTTTATAACATAGCCAATCAAAGATTGGAAAAGAGTAATGAACGCAAGGAAACATAAAAAACCCTTTGTTGGAAAATCTGAATTTTCGAGTTTCAAAGAAAAACCAGATGCCCTTTAAGCTCTTTGAATTTCTCTAACGATTTATGATTACCGCTTTTTTGATAATGTTAACCCAACTTGAGAAAACTGGATTAACACGTAAAGTTTTTAAGGAAATCTAAAAATAAAATTCCAATCTTGAAACTAGAAATCGTTCACGTTTTTTCGCGCCATTTCCAAGTTCGCATTTGGAGAGTGCTATTTACGTCAATTTCAGCAGATGAATTTCGATTGAACTCAAAAATTGCATATATACCTAAGTGGTAAAGTCCCTCATGCTGGAGGGACCGATGGCTTGAAGTTTGTTTTGGCTTTTTTTCAGCCAATCAGAACTGAGTATTCAAAAATTACGCAAAATTCTCAAAGTAAGCAGACAAATTCAGGCCAGTAGTGTTAATATTGACCGATTAGATAAAAGCAGATGAATGAAGATAATGCCGGATCGAAGGTGGATAGGAACATATTTATTTTTTCAAGGATACCGATTCACGAAAAATGGAAAAACAAAAAACTAAATTTATTATATCTGCACTGATTACATTTGCATCATTATATTTATTATATTAATATTTTCCGTTAATATTGACTTCGATTTTGTGAGAAAGGCATTTAGCCAATAGAAACGCTTAGTGATTTTGATTGGTTGAAATTTTTCCAGCATTCAGTCCCTCCAGCATGAGAACCCTCCCCTACCTAAGTGTATTCGGAGCTAGGTTTTTTAGCAGACCAGTTTTTTAGCAGACCGGTTTTTAGTAGACTCAAAACAATTAAACAGTCAGAACGTTAACTTCAAACGCGGCATTGGCAAGTAAAATACGCTCGCTCCGCTGCGCTTACATCCGGAACGAGAGGAATACTGCGCGTGAATCAGTGTTTGCTGTTAAACTAGATTGCTGTGCTTAGAACTTTGTTGACAAACCGTGATATAATGGTCTGAATTAGGGAACTTCAACCTCAGATTTCGCGTCATTTTACTTCACTCAGTCAATTAAGCATCAATTTTTGCTGCCTTCACAAAGCTGTCACTCAAAGTCTGCTAAAGGGCCTAAAATTCTTTTTTTATGCAAAAAATCGGTCTGCTAAAAAACCGGTCCGCAGTGCATTCATAAATGCATCAATATGTATGAATGCACATCTGCAGTTATTAGAACACTCCAAGACTTTTTCCTGAAAAAAAAACAAAAAAATCATCAATACTTATATTAGTCTTCACTACGTTTATTACTCTTAAAAATACTTAAGCTAAGATTTTTCTAAGGGAAACTATTAAAAAGATCCACCCGCACTGGAACTTCCTATATAAAGTTCAATTATATTAGGTTTTCATTGTCAGTTTTCATGGAATGTAATTTTTTGCTTGTCAAATCAATAAAATCCTTTTTAATTGATTATAATCAATTATAATGAATTATGAAATAGAAAATTCGTGTTGTGGGGGAGGGGATTAATTAGAGGGCTGGTAAGCTAGGAGGCGGGGGTAAACATGGGGAATGGTGTATTTGACTTAGGGAGTGTGGGAGGAGGTGTGGGGGGAGTGAAAGTAGGGGCGGATGTCAAATATTGGGGGGTTGATGTAAGCATGGTTGAAAATGTTCGATCGGGTAAACTTGAAATCCCACCTTTGATCACCTTTAATCATCGCCGAATCTTTCGCCTACCTATGAAAGCTGCTTTTTGATCGCTTTTTGATCTTGTACAAGTCATGGATATTGCAAAGATGAATCTGCGATATCGCAAATGTTCCTCATCAACTGTTATGTTGAAAGTCAGTGATGAAATTTCCTTCAAACTCCTCAAAATTGTTACATATAATCACACTAACAACAATCGAATGACACGTATAATTAAGTAAGCTTATGATTGGTGGCGCAAAGCTGGCAGTGTTTCTTACAGTTGGTCGTGGGATCCAAACCAGGGAATGAAATGAAACTAACTTTTGGTATTCACACATTTTTCCTAGTGATTTTTTGTGTCATTTTTTGCTCCACACCTTTTGCCACTCAAAATTGTAATTTTTGCAAGCGGAGATTGGCTATTTTGCAATAAAATAGGGGCGGAATGTTGGAGGACGAAATGTGTGCGGGTCGAAATCTGCCACATTCAGTTTTTTGCAACATTTTGATTACTCTTCAATCAACGATTAAAATAAGTTTGTTCCAGTGCTAATTCAGCGCTAATTTATTATGATTATTATGTGCTAAAATGGCAATGTTAAATTACGTTTCTTTCCTGGCTGTGGCTTTTTTGTTTTTTGTTTTGCTCATTTACAGCGCTGAGCTTCTGCGGGAGATCAAACCGATTGAAAACAATTCAGTTGAAAAAAAATTTTAAAAAATTTTTGCTTCTTTCTTATCTTTTTTCAGCTCTACAAAAAAGAAAATAAGGAAGTTTTTCGACAACAAAAGAAATTTTTACCCAGAACTTAATTAATGGAATTTTGAAATGTCAGATATATTTTTTCTAATGGCTTGTTGAAATTTTAAATTCTAAAATTAGGAATTAAAGCGAAGTCCCTTTTTTGTTAACAAACAAACAAATTTTTTTTTCTCACACAAATAATCATTCACAAAACAACCCAAGATTGTGACGGCCTCTATTTTTAGTTGCTATAGTGATAAGTTTGAGTCAAACAAAATCCTGGGGAACAAAAAAATTATCGAGCCAGCTGCAAGGGAAAAATACTCCTCGTATTAAGCGAAACCTTGAATCTTCCGTTTGCCCCTCAACGTCTTTAAAACAGTTTTTGAAAAACATTACTTGAAAAAAAGGTAAAATTCAAAAACAAAAAAGCTTAGGATTTTATTGAAAACCTACCCCACATGCAGTACCAAGTACATAGTGATGTTATTAGCGTCTAGTAATGTATTATACACTGAATATCCTGCCTCAATTCAATTTGGAACAAGTAATGGGTCGATTAATTCCCGCTTACGCCTTAATACTCGAAAGTTTTTGCGCGTTAATTCTCTCAAATTGGCCAAATTAGCAGTTTTCAAACACCCACAATTTTTCAAAAAAACAGCAGGTAAAAAAGTGCTTTAACTTTGAGCTCAGGACTGCACTCACTGGCTTTCAGATAGTATAAAATATTCCGTTCAAAAATGGCAAGTTAAAACATCAAAATTGGTCTGGAGAAAAATAATCAGCCCGACAGGACACATGTTTCGTCACTTTCATTGAATGTCGGAACAATATCAGAATAACGCTTTAGATACCACAAACTTATAGTGTTAGCGAGGTCAG